GGGGGGGGGGGTGGCTGAGGGTATGTGGGGACGACACTGAACTGAAATGTGGGTTTTGTTTTTGAATTTTTACAACCCGGCCAGAACCTACAAATCCAAGTTAATCTGCTTTAATGCAATTACCTTGAGAGCTGACAGAGACAGTTTCATTAATGTCATCATTGCTCAAAAATTCCTAAGAACCTTGTTAGAAAATACCTTCATTATCACTTTACAAACCAATCAAGAAAATCCATTTTATCTATTTCTTTTTTAAAATCTGTAATTCCCAGCCTAAACTGTTCCAAACAATGTTTGGCTGTTTCTACTACTTAAATCCAAAAGTAAGATATTCTCTTATTCTTTTTTAACCCTTTTTTCTAATTCTATTTATTTTACCAAAAGGGTAGAGGAACAGATGGATTCTTCTGCTATGTGGACTATCACTAAATCCATTTTTAAGATTCAGACTTCCAAAAAGATACGACATAGGATCTGAAAGCAATTCCTAAAGAAGATCTCTTAAGTATTTAAAGCAACGGTCTTAGCCTGGATCTGGGTGGACAACTCCCAGAGTCTTATTTATGCCCACATTCAAATGAACACTTGGGTTCTGTTACATGTTAAACAAGCCATCAGTGAACAAATAGTCTGCATCTAAAGTGACCACTGGCAACTATATTACCAAAGAATTTTTTCAGACCTTTCAAAAGTTGTAAAACTCTCGGAATAAATGGACCTCGAAGAAAAGCACAAAACCCAGAGTGCTCTTTAGTTTTGCAGGGAAGCCCCACAGCCTTTACGATTTTGACCCACATCCTTCCTCCAAATCTGCCCAGTACCTGAAGGATCTGCTTTGTTTCTCTTGAATGGTTCCTCCTTTCCCTTCAAGGGTTCACTACTTAGTTCCTCTCTGACAGGCTGACTTTCAAGCCAACATTTGAGTTACCAAAAGCAAGAAGTCGCGTGACACCAGCAAAGGTTCTGGTCTCCAGCAACGCGCTCTTACCCAGGAAATTGGGCCCTCCCTGGAATGCCCTCATCTGCTAAGAATCCTAAATCATTTGGCGTGTTTATACTGTTTCTTAGTTTGACTGTACACTCCCTAAATGCAGGGGCGACCAGTGCCTATGTACTTCCCCCACAGCTTATATTTAATGTAGTACATACTGCACAGAATTATTGTGGAACTTAAATTCAACAGTATATATATAATGTGTTCAATGAGAATAAATGCTATCATTCTATTACTCAGCTCGTAGCAGGTTCTCATTAAGCAGTTGTTGGAGTTTATTTGGCCTGAAGTGTGAAACATATTTCTACTCCACATTATTAATATGTATCTTATGAAACAGCACCAAATGACAGAGACTGAGAGGCTCAAATGTTGATCACTTTAATTTGCACAGGACATCATAGACATGTAACAAATCAAATGTTGTACCTCACTTCTCTGGACTGTGGAAACTGCTGGCAGAAATGAGCCTGCAGTGAAAATGCAGATCTCTCTCCAGTCAAATGCCACAACACCACCAGGCCTATCTGACTCAAGAGTCGAAAAAATATCCCCCAGCCCCACTCCTCCAGAGCTCTTTAATCCTTTAGTTTCTCTTCAGCTGTCCACAACCAAAGAATGATTGATCATTCAAAATCATTTAAAATTGACTCGAATCTGTTTCCCTAGATGCTTTCCCTTTCAACAGATTCATCTTCCAATTGATTCCTGACTAATACAAGTATTGACACCCCTTTGTTTGCCTCTGTCAGGGAAAAAAACCAAGGCAGAACCATGGGTAGGTCTGGGACATCCCCCGTTTTGTTTCTCTGAAGCCTCCACCCCAACATCACATGAAAGGGAAACACATGCTCATTTGGAGACAGAAGTGATCCCCAATCTACCATGGGTTTAGGGGCTGGGATGCTTGATCTAGCTCACAAGCCCAAGAGCAGCAGGGCCTTTATGCTCAGGAAACTGAGCCTGCTCAAACAATCCGTGTGTGTGTGTGCACGCACGCATGTATGCGGTGTGGTGTTGATTTGTGAAGTGTTGAGTGTGCTGTGTGGATGTGTGGTGTGTGTGTATAGTGTATGTGTGGTATATGTGGTATGTGGTGCGTATGTGGTATGAGTGGTGTGTGTGTGTGCAGAGTCTGGGTGTGAGTGGTGTATGTATGTGTTGATAAGTGTGGTGTTGGGTGATGGTACGTGTGTGTGTGTGAGACAGAGGTGTTCCATTAAGATCGTCACTGCTTCTAGGCTGACTGCCTTGCAAATGAAATACACATGTACACATATACAACAAATATTAGCCTCGGGCAATAAAAGGTGGTAAAGAACCCAAGAGAAGAGAAAGTTCCTTCCTGGAGGGAGACGTGGGATGGTTTCCTTGGAGAACACGAACCCCTGCGGGATGAGCAAGGTTACGGATGGGCAGAGAGGATGCAGGCAGAGATGAGGCGGGAGTAAAGCAGCAAAGGTGCAGGCCCCGAGACAGCAACGCCCACTTAGAGAACAATGATAAGTTTAGTTGGCTGGAGGATTAGGGATGGACTTGAGTAGCAAAGAAATGCACCGCTTCATCATCTTGTCTCTTCCAGAGAGAGAAAAAAAAAAGATTCTTTAATATTTGAATCCTGTATAAGCTCTTCAAAAACTTTCCCCACTTCTAAGTGTGTCCTTCTGGGAGCAGGTATGAAAAAAGAAACCAGACCCAGGCCTTGGGCCACGAAACAACACTCCCTTTGTTTCAGGCCCAGTTGCCTCCTCAAACTGCCCAAGGAGGACAGTTTCCTGAAACACTTAAGATGAGAAAGCAGGCAGCCAGTCAGCTCACATGAGCACCGGTGCACTCAGACAGACCCGGTAAAAACCACTTGGCAGGCTCCACTTGGCAGCCGGGCACAGCCTGTACCCATTCGGTGGCCTCCAGGTGTCCCTTTGGACAGACGGAGAAACACAGGGTGTCTCCATCCATCTGTATCAGTGTGCTAAAGAAGGCCATGAAACAAGGCGTGGGGCCAAGAGAAGCCCTTCCCAGCATCACAGGCTGAACAACAGGAAGGCCCTCTCCCCCCACTCGGCCAGCGTCCCAGCAGGACCCTCCCCATCGCAGGCCCCTGGGCCCCGGCCGTGCAGCTGGACCCAGTGCACGAGCTCAGCACCAGCACTGTCAAGTGCTTCATATTTTTACTGAAGATCTGCCTTAGATGCTCCATCTTCAAAAGCGAATCTTTCCAATTTTATGTAGGCTTATCTGTTTGTTCCCCTCAATAGAAGGCAATGGAATCACCACTGGATGTCAGAGCAAAAATGGGGGGATTAAAATGAAAACCAGCTTTAAAATGTGACGGCTCTGTCCATTCAGGCAGTTAACAACCCCTTCCAAAGTCTCTGAAAGATTACTGTGTATAATTCCGAATACATAAAATTCCTCCTTTCAGATGGTGCAAACCCCACAGGGTTTCTTTAAATTTAATTGCATTCCAGGGTCCTGGACTTCGTGGTCTCCTACAGTCTCTACAACTTTAGCTTGGGGCTGGTCCTCTCCTCTGTTTTCCTCTAAAATATCCCCTACCTTTTCTACAATCTATAAACCCTCCACAGAAAGAACCAGATTAAACTGGGGAGGGGGGTGGACTAGGAAAAGCCTCACGTCCACCCACGCCTTCCTCCTGTATAAGTGTGTAATCTTCAAAAGTCACATAACGAAAAACACTCCCTGCAATCGACCTTTTAAAACCAACAGGGAGGAAGAGGCCACAGGATTTAGGCAACTATGAGAGTGATCTGCACAGAATCCAGTTCCCTTTTGGTCCCCATGGGTCCCCCTGGTTTCCCAGCACTGCCACAGCCATTGTGGGGCTTGCCTCCAATTTTAGCTTTAAATTGCTGACACCCCTTTTTGCCATCATTTACACCCACCTATTCTCCCCATACACAAGCACAAACCAAGATTTTACTCTGGAGACAGGTCTTTCCTTTGATGGTTTACAATTTAAATGTCTGACACAGCAAACACCTTACATTTTCCAAAAATGAATGAATCTCAAAACTGAAAAAGCCACTCTTATAACCATTCCCTAAGATTTTGGAGAATTTTAAATAATGCATTTTTGAGAGGTTATTGTTGTTCTGTATATTACTTGGTAATTTTCCAAAAATCTAGAGGCTGATTCATATCCTCACAAGATGCCCTCTCTCTCCTATGCCTTGTGACCTATGAAGAAGTTTCAGTCCACAACTACTGTAATGAGTGGGACTTAGAAAATACATAGCCAGAAAGGGGCAAAGGTCTGGGGTCCAACAAGAGAGGCAGACAAGGGGTTGGAGCAGGAGCACGGGGACACTCAGGCCTGCGTGCCAAGGTACTGCTGAAGGATGGGAGATGCCGGGAAGAGGGGCCAAGGAGGCCCTGGTGTCAGGGAGCAGTCCTGCTCTGTCCAGAGAGGTGGCAAACAATCCTTGTGCTTCCTTTCATCTGTTCAGTCTCTGAACCACTCTGTATCCAGCAAAATGGTGCAAGTGAGTCAACACAACAGAAATGAGATCCCCCAGAGTCATACCCAGCACTTGAAATCAGTGTGAGCAGAACATCAGAGCCCTGAGGACTTTAGCCTCGTGCCTTTGAAATCTCCTCTTCAATAGGAATGATTCATAAGCTAAACTGATTCTGCAGCCGCCGTCTCCGTGATACTCCCAGGAGGGCTCCAAAAATTAAAAAAACCTAAGCTTGAAGGATTAAGGATTCATCTTACCCCACTGCTTGGAAAATAATTCCCCCAAACTTCCTCTGTGCAGTTTCTTATAATAACCACTCTTCCACCTCTCCTCACCTGTCAGGTGGGTCCAGCCTTCTGAAGCATGATCTGGCCCTGAAGGCCTTCCAGGGTCCATGGGAAAAACAAGGAGAGAAGAGGTAAAGGGGCCAATTTGTCTGCACATGTGCCTTGTCTGGAAGACAGCCTGAGCCACAGAGCTCCGTGGCTAACAATCTGAGCTGGGGTCACACTCTCAAGTGCCCAAAGGGGCCAGGTGTGTACATTAATGAGGAAGGATGCTGAAGATGAGTCATACTCCTGATGTGGGCTGGGGTAAACTAGAGAGCCCAGCCCTGTTCACCTTGGTTGGCCAGGGCCACCACAAGGGTGTCATTTTAACAGATACATTATCAAACCCCTTCTAGGTGACAGCCACTGTTGCACACACTAGACATGTGAGTAGAAAGGTGACCAAGACAATGAAGATCCCTGCTTTCTTGAAGCTTGCCTTTAATATTATGGTGAAATTTTACATAGTGTTGCTGGATCTTCAGAGTTTTCAACCAAATTTGGATACTTAGAATTGTGTGAAATCATCTCATTTTAAACACTGCCTGAAACTTAAAAAACAACAACAAAAACTCCACTGTGCAGGCCAAACAGAAATATGTCTGTGGGCTGAATCTGGTTCCCAAGCCAACTTCTTTAATCTCTGACCTACAGTTTTTATTTTTTCTGAGGAGACTCGCCTCCCCAGAGGCCCTCCTTAGGGTAAATGATTTTCACAAAAGATTTTCTGTTATATTGGGCTCCAGCCCATGAGGATACTTACACCACTATTTATCTTGTTGATGATTATTTTTAATAAAATTTATTATTATTATTATTTTGACAGAGCTATCAATGAAGGATTTTTTAAAATACTGAACTCCTGAGGTTTTATTACTCACTGTTATTTTAAAACCTCTCAAAGATAAAATAAACTGGCCAAACATAACCACCCCTTAACCATCTCTATTGCCCAGTAAAAAGCCACATGCACCTCAAATTTTGCCAGAAGCACCAGTTCTGTTCGGTCTCAGAGCCTGACACCACTGCATGCTGCAACTTACCTCCATGGTATGTGTCTTTCCTGATGAAGTCTGTCCATATGCAAAAATCGTCCCATTATAACCTTCAAGGACATCTGCAAGCAAGAAAAATAAATAAAATTAACCAATTACTTTGATCGTATGCATATTTTTAAATTACATTTTCCAAATGGCCCATCTCATTTTTCACACAATTGATATTTCAACTCCATTTGCATTTTAAGTAAAATTGAGCGATAAAAGCAGAAACGAGGGCCTCCACTGCTCCACAAACAAAGAGAAATGGACTCACATTCCTACAGAGCGTATTAATGTAGAGGGGAGGGAGGAAGACACACTCTCCCTGTAACATAAAATTAGGACAGGTATCAAGCAGAATACTTTCCTTTTAGTAGAAAGATACTTGAGTTTTCTTCTCTAAGTTGATCTCTTGAGATCAGTCAGGGGGAAAAAAACCATTATCCGTGCCCTGCGTCTCTGGAGTGAGGTGCAGAATAGAATTTCTTTCCTGAAGATCTGATTTGGGTTAGTTTGAACCCTGGCCCAGGAGAGCTCCTTGGGGAGGTTTCTTGTGAAGGCCGCAGCACAGTCCCTTCAGGGGGAGCGGGTCCAGAGCTGGGGGGGGCAGGGCCTTGCTCTGTAAACTGAGCCACACAGCGACAATCCAATCAGCCCAGAAGTCGCCAGGGCCCCGATTCAAACCTAAAGCCTCTGTTTTAGTGACTGTGCAAGAGAGAGGGCCGGGGCCCTTCAGCATCGGGATTTCTTCCAATGCACAGAGAGCACACTGGGCGCACGCAGCACAGTGCAGCCAGCTTCCATGGGGACCGGGAGGGTGTGGTGGAGGCTGCTTTGCACTGAAAATCACCTGTGGGAATTCTTTCAAAGCAGCAGAGGTGATTAAAATATATTGTGTGCTTGTTTCCCTCGACACCCTTTCATCGACATAAACCTCATCGAAGGGGGAATGGTGCATAATTAATATCCTTGACCCACCCTCTCTACACAGGGAGGAAGTCTTCATTCCTGACAGGACGGTGCGGGCAGGGAGAGGAGCCCCATACCAAGCTGTTCCTTTCAGGGCCACGGACACACACAAAAAAAATTAAGCCAGGCAATCAGCTCCATCTATTTCAAGCCCTGATCAGATCTGTTTGGTTCATTGGTGGGTCCCTCTGAACTATATGATGCCAGTTAGTTTTTGTTGTTTTGTTGGATTTCCTTAAAAATTTTTACTATACATTTTACAGATCTGATATTATCGAAGTCTGAGCTGAGATAAGAAAGCTGGGTTTTCCTTTAGGAAGCTAAAAAGGAAAAATAAAGTGGCAGAATTTTTTAAATCCTAGCAGCCCTCAAGAGTTTACATCAAGCTATATTGAGAGAATGTTCACACGTATCAGACTTCTGGTAATGGTTTCCCTGGTAACAGGGAGCAAAAACTTAAAGACAACGGAAGGGTTGAAGGTTCAAGCTTCAGTTTTCATGAAAATGCCAACTTTCTCGGAGAAAATATTCCTCAGGCCTGAAAACAGTAGCCAGAGAAGAGCCTCTACACGTCCATGAATGTGATGCTCTTAGGGACCCAGGAAAAGAGGTTCCCACCCTTGGGTTGTACTTATTTTATTTTATTTTATTATTTTATTTTATTTTATTTTTTATTTTTTTGAAAGTACATTTATTAAAGCTGAGGAGAGTGAAACAAGAAAGGGCCTAGGATAGAAGAAGCAACAGAAGAGCCTAGACGGGGCTGCTTTGGCTCACTGGCAAGTCAGAGAAAAGGAGGCCTTGGAGACAGGTCCAGGCGGTTAGCCCAGGACAAGCTGCCACTGCCCATTGCTCCCCTGGTTGCAAGCCTCGCGGGGTCCCTTAGAGCTTAGGAGATGCATGCCTGAGAAAGAAGGAGGCAGGAAAGGAAAGGCTCGGGCATGCTCCCGGGAGGGAGAACGAGCCCCTTTGGTTGTACTTTTAAAAGTCTGCATTCACGCACAAAGAACTCCAGGCAACTGGAATTCTAGCCACAATCACGGCACTAAAGCTTCATTTCTTAGAAATTAAACATCTCCCCCAGACTGAAAGGGCTTCCTTACCTTAAGCCCCTGTGTAGGAAGCACTCTGGGACCCATTAGCCCAGGCGTTAGAACGGGGGTAAGGAAGCCAAGGCCAGGAGTCCAGCTGCCTCTGCTCCTTGTAAGGGGCCGCTGGACACTCTACAAGTGCACATGTACACAGGCTCTGAGCAACCTGCCACGCCCTAAAGAAAACCCAGCTCAGAGCTCGAGCCCTGCTGACAGGAGGAAAGCAGCACATGCTTCTTCCTCTGCCAAAAAGCAACAGGACCAGGGCACCTGAACCAGGCCTCCCCAGGCCCAGTCCACGTCTCCAAATCCACCCTCACAGCAAGCAGCATGCACGGCCCTACTAATTCCTAGTGAGCTGCTGCTCCCGGAGCACCTGCGGGTTAGGGACTGGGTAAGAACGTCCGTGAACTTGCGGAGTAAGGAGCTGAGGGGTACATGGGACTCTATACTTAGAGAATCCCTGATTGCTCCATGCTGCTATTTCAACACTGAGCACAATTACTTTTATTTTTTCAGGAAAAAGAGAACAAATAAAACCCCATTAGAACAAACTCCACTTGGCCTTTAAAGTCTTTACAATCATGTTACAATTAATTCGTTGTTGAAGTAACTATCTCCAGTGTTCGAGGTTGAGCGGAGCTGATGGTTGCCCTCTATCAATTCAATTCTGAATTAGAAGGTAATTTAAAAAGAAAAGAAAAAGCTCTCTGAACCCTGTGTCCTCTATTTTCTCTCAAACTCCAGGTTGGGGGAGGGGGAGTGTTATTTGTTTTAAAACTCTACGTGTGATTATTAGTGGAGAGGAGAGGGAGAGTGCAGCACAAACTATGCATTTGGGGGCTCGCCACTGAGATGACAAGAGATGGAGGGTGCAAGAGAACCCCCCAAGGAGAGAAAGAGAGCAGGGCTGTGCTCAGCGCCTCACTGAGCCACCCCACCACCCCACCCGCCTCTAACAGAAACAAGTCCACAAAAACGCACTTTCATCACGCTGAATGACAGTTCCTGGGCCTGAGGAAAGCATTTGTTTCAGAGTCTCTGCCGTAACAAAAGTCACAGAGCCAGGAACCAGCTCAGCCAGACAGGATCTTTCTTTGTGATGGGGTCTGGCGTGATGTGATCTCAGCTCGCACCACACAGCCGGTGGCACCGCACAAACACAACACGTATCCATCTAGTGGCCAAGCTAATCCCAGAGAGATTCCACTACAGGTGGGAAGGGCCTTCTTCTCTCCCGGGAGGAGTGAGGAGGGGAGTGGGACACTTGAAAATACTTTTGCCTTTTGCTGAAGCTTCAAAAGCCAAGTTTTCGGCCCTAGGCTTTGATAGTTCTGAGTCCAGGTCTTGCTGGAGCAGAAGAGTAAGTTCGATTGTCAGGTAAGAATTTAAGGAGGGCGTAATCACACCTACACATCAATGTTCCTGAGGAGGCTGTTGTGACCTCCCACCAGCTTTCCAGGTGAAATGGCCCGTCTGTGGCACCAGGATCTCTGGCAATAGTCACTGACACACAAGTCATCCCTGGTTTGGAATCCTAAGGCTCTTGCCAGTCAGCCAAAGGACTCGAGTAGGCCGTATGCGGAGAATGCAGAGGCAATCCTGCTGAACACCAGGGCCAACCAGAATGCTGGGCTAACCAGCCAACCTGAAGGGCTGCCACTGTGCCCAGGTGGAGGCCTGCGGCACCTTCAAAACTGAAATGCATCTCATTATTGGCAGACAGCCAGGGCCACCTGGAAGCTCTAGAGCTGCAACCTCTATTCTCTTTCCTCTACCTTCCTCCTACCCCCATTCCGATCCCTATCTTATTGCAATGCTTGGTTAACAGTCCATATGGCTGAAAGGAACAACTCATAAAATAATTGTTATTAAATGCTCATTGGTCCTGGCCTGGTAGCTCATTTGGTTAGAGTGTCGTCCCTGATACGACCAGGTTGCCAGTTCGATCCTCGGTCAGGACACATACAAGAATCAACCAGTGAATGCATAAATAAGTGGAACAACAAACTGGTGTTTCTCTCTCTCTCTCTTTTCTCTTTCCTATCTCTCTCTAAAGATCAATCAAGAAATATTTAAATGTCATATGGTCCCACCAGAAAAGTGGGAGGACAGTGCAGAAAAATCTAAGTAAGTCAGACAAACTCAGGCTCAAGTCTCAGCCTCACTACCTCCAAGTGACCTGGCTGAGTTGCTTCACCGCAAACTCCTCTTTGGCACAAAGGGAAAAATAATGATCATGCCCCATAGAGCTATTAAGATTAAAATACAATAGCATATGTAACGTGCATAGAAGGTGCCTGATAGATAATAGTAGAGAAGTAAATGTATCTCCTTAAGAGTCATATACAACATAATAATAAAATAGATCTGATAATATTCTAAGCTTAAAATTCTTCAATGGGTCTACACTGCCAATAGGATAAAGCCCAACAATTTCAAGAACTCCAATACAGTCTAACTTTTTTAAGTCTCATCCCCATGCACCCTGTTCCATTCTAAGTTGCCCAAACATGCCATATAATTTGTGTCTTTATGCTTTTGCTAGTCCTCTGATTATACAGTCCTTCTACAGTCCTTGAGACCCAACCTTTCCAAGAAGCCTTCCTTAATTCTGCAATTCCCTTCCACACCCACCAAAATCAGTATCCAGGGGCTTTCTTCTGTGCTCCCAAAGCATTTTGCACACACCCACCTTAAAAGTCGTAATACCCATGTGTATGCTAATTATGGATGCATCTGTCTGTCTCCTTATATTCAAAAATTCTTGCACAGTCACATATCTTGGGGGCTCCTGTCCCTAGCAGTGCTTATCATGTGGTAAATACTTAATATACTTGCATAAGGAACGAATGGAAGAAACAACCAAATGAATGAAGTTTAAAGAAATTAGATCTGAAAAACAAGAAAACCACCTTCTCTAGCATTGGATAGGCAACATCTAGTTAGTTAATTTGGAAGGCAAATGCCCAGGGTGACTGCTGGAGTCTGGGACATAGCTACCCTACTTCAACAATGAACGTGGTTTTTCATTCCTTGGTGTTTATGGGAGCCTTCCTGTTTACCATGCTGGCGGTCAAGCCCCATAGCCTCTTCTGGAAAAAATGGAGGGGAATTCTACATATTCTTTCAGACAACAGTTTAAAAAACACACATCAGACAAAGATGAGAGTGTGGGATGCCAGGACTCTACAATCAAATGTTTGAAACTTTTTTTTAAACCCAGTGAAGTTGAAGGGAATGAAAAAAACAAGAGAATAAAGTCACCAGTGAAAAAGAGTCTTCCTGATCTCAGGAGCGTTAGGGTCTAGACAGACTTGGAAGGAAAGCTCAGCAGCCCACCACCTTATGAATCATGGAGACTATGGTGCTGCTTCAGTCATCTGATTCAATTCTTGCTAGAAAAGAGGCCCCCACAGCACCACCTCCCACTCCTGATTTAAATAGAGCCTGTCATGGCAGGAGATGCCTCAGTTGCAACTGGTCATCTATCTAAGGAGCTCTTTCTTATATACCTATGTCTGACCTTCATGATGTGGAAATACATGGCCACTTCCCCTCAAGTGAGCCTCGCGGATATTAAAAAAGTTAAGCCCGGCAGGCATGACTCAGTGGTTGAATGTCAACCTATGAACCAGGCAGTCCTGGTTTGATTCCCAGTCAGGGCATGCAGGAGGCAGCCCATCAATGACTCTCTCATCATTAATGTTTCTGTCTCTCTCTCCCTCTCCCTTCCTCCCTCTGAAATCAATAAAAACATTAAAAAAAAAAAAAGTTAAATCAGGTCTTCATTATCCCCCTCTCAATTTCCTTCCAAGGGAGACTAAGGTACTCTTCACTGTTACAAAATTACTCTGTGTATTTAATACTTATGGTGCCTGAAAAATGTGTTCATCATATCATATCAGAGCCTAATTTTATTCTAAGTGGTTTTCTTTGTGGCTCACCATATATTGGGTCTCAAGTTATCCATGGTTGGGTTGCATCTTCATGAGAGTTCCTTGGGGAAAGCCTATTTCTAACATTTCATACTGGACAAAAATCCAAACTCTGAAAGGAACACAAACTTTTCTAGTAAATAAAGACTCAAAGATTATTATTACTGTTGGTTAATCACTGGATTTCTTGCCCGGCCGGGCGTGGCTCAGTGGTTGAACGTCGACCTGGGATCCAGGCGATCAGGGTTCGATTCCCGGTCAGGGCACATGCCCGGTTGTGGGCTTGATCGATGACTCTCTCATCATTGATGTTTCTGTCTCTCTCTCTCCCTCTCCTTTCCTCTCTCTAAAATCAATAAAGATATATTTAAAAAAAAAAAATCACTGGATTTCTTTTCAGTGGAGTTTCTCCATTTTGAATTACGATGCCAATTTAAGGAGGGTGGGTATATATTTAGATGGCCCTCATGCTTAGCACAGCATGTGGTAAATACTCTTTGGCTCTGCTGATGAATGGGAGAGAAAAAGAAGGAGACTCTGGAGCATGTGTGATTAAACTTGCTTTAATAAAAATATGAATGAGTCTGATAATAGAGGGGAAGTAGGGCTGACTAGGAGCAAGCTAGAACTATATGCTCCAAAAAGAGAGAAAGAACATGTTGAGATAGAAAGAGAATATGGAAATTACCACCAGTTACAGGCCCATCCTATTAATTCAAGGAGAGCTCAAATTCAGGCAGTTTTTCCTGTTAATTTTCTATAATAATGTTACTGCGAAGACCTTCAAAATTAATTGATGTCTGCAACAGGAACGTGAATAACTGTACACCTCAGCAAGGAACATTACATACTGACAGGCTCCCACGCAGGTGTCCAGGGTCAGAATTAATCTAACAGATGTACCCAGGGCTGATTTTCATGAATTTCAAAGCATTAGGTTAGTCATCTCAGCTTCTAAAAATAAGTAGATCTAACATGACAAGGTTTTTTTAAATTTTGTTTTTATTTTTTGCTCTTTAAATCCAGAGCTATAAAGGTGGCAGCATCGAGACATTTGAAAGCACGACTGCCGAAGCATTAAAATTAAAAAGCAAGGATTTAATGATGAAAAGCAAAGTAGCGGGAGATGCCCCTCAGCTCAGTGCAGATGGTGAGCTCTGCCAGGCAAACTCCAGCCTGCCCCTGATTTGAAAGGGTAAGGGAGGGTGACTTGTAAATTGCTTCGTCTCCCTGCTGTTACTGTGACAGAAATCACTCAGGGCCAAGGCCAGTCCCAGAGAAAAGGACAGATCTCCAAGACACAAATTTAGGCTTCAGGCTACCTTTCTGGAGGAACAAATGTCGGGGCCTGAGTGGGATGATGAAAAATGGGTTAGACAAGAATGTAATTAAGGAGTGCTGAGTAGCAAAAACAGTTCAGTAACCAGCAAGGTAATGTGATTTTATGATGCTGTGATTTTATGATTTTATGAATTTTCCACATTTAAGGTTCTTTCTGAAGAGACATATGCACAAAATCAACCGAAAATGTACAATTGGAGCATCAGGAATATATAGTTTTCTTCTTGAAAGGTAAAAAAAGCTCCTATACTGGCAGCAGAAAAACTGTGATCCTCGTTTGCCTTGCTGTGAAGCTTCTAGGTGATAAAAAGGTGGCAGAAGAAATAAAGAAATCTCCTTGGAAAGGAGGCAGAGGGAGATTAAATAACTTGCATGACCATCCCAGCAAACCAGGGCCAGACCTCGAGCTATAACTCAGTGTTTCCAATTAGCAGGCCTCTGCTTACAGTCAAAGCACATTGATTCTTAAGCTGCAAATATCACTTAATGTTTTCAATTACTCTGAAAGGCCCAGGAGGAAATAAAGGAATAGCGCTTACCTTTGACAATTTGCTTGGCACACGCACTGTAAACCTGCTCTTGGGTCGTGCTGGGAGGCAGCACTCTGTCGAAGACATATGGCTTCCCTTGCTAAAAAGAAAGACAAAAGGAGAAGGGCAGAGAAAACACATTAAAAGTTTAGGAATAAGAAGCACTAATATTAGCAAGGACAACAGACACTAAATCACCGGCCCTATTCTTTAAGGCAGTTCTTTACCACGACCAGGAACTTTTACAGCCTGAACCATACTCACATTGCGTTTCTATGTGTTATATGTTGAGAATCCGAGGGAAGAAAGAAAAAGCTGTTGTTGTTGTTGTTTTACTTGAAATATATTTTCTGATGAAAAGTAGGCTGATGCACCTTTCACTCATTTGAACTAATACTGATTTATTGAGAGCTTACACTGGGCGAGGCACTAGACTAGATGCTGCCAGGAAACAGTCCTGCCGTGTAAAGCACTCAGTCAAGTGTGGCAGGCAGGTAATATGCAAGAAAGCAAGCACACGGGAAAATGCAAAATGCAGAATGTATGGGGCAGGAGGGACGGTAAAGAGGGCACAGAAGACCTCACTGAGGAAGTAGCAGTTAAATGGGCCTTTAAAAGATCGGAAAGTCTACAGCACGTGAAGAGCTGTGGAAGGATATTCCAGACAGAGGGTGGAGCAGGCAGAGGGGCCTGGTGTGCTCAGGGAACTGGAGGGCGGAGGCAGAAGCGGAAAGCTGGGGCCTGTGCCTGCAGACACTGCTAGCCCAGGTGCTGCGCTTGGATTTTACTCAATGGGAGACAACACGGCCAGGTTTAAGAAGCTGCTCTTCTTAGCAAGATATTACTGCTTTGTGTCCCAAAGACTTCTAGTGTTTTCTTCGCATGCGTCAGTGGTGCCTTAACTGGGCCGAGGCTGCAGGGACATAGGAAGCCCTTCTTACAGTTGATCCAGTGATCTCCCAGGTGCGGGGTCTTGGGATTTAGTTTGGCTCTGGACCGTGGGATTCAAGGAGGTAACTGTGAGAGGTGGAGGGGAGAAGCACTGCAGGGCACTGTAGGAGCCCTGACACCCAATCACTCCATGTTCATCAAGAGTTACTGTCATTTACCTGCCGGGCAGTGCTGAGCACTAGGGAAAGGGGCAGGTGAGACAGACCAGCCTCTTCCTGGGAGAACCTCCCCACCCCATAACAGCACTTTATCACACCAATGCCACCCACAGCCTGATCCACCCAGGCGGCCCTTCAACTTTATTTTCCCACAGTGGCAGAGGGGAGGGCAGGAGAAGTGGGAAAGATGAGCACCCACAGACTCCTTTGCTCCCACCCTGTGCCTCCTACACATGGCTCTGGACACTAGGAACCACCCAAGGACAGGATGACACCTCAAAAAGATAACTGCTCACGAGGGATGCAGGGACAAGGCTTGTTACATCCAATAACCTTCATACAAAACTAAGTACACAGCTGTCAGGTTGGCTTAACTTTTTCTTATTTATGACTAGGGTAGGTAAGGTCCTACGCTTTAGGCGTTATGTTTGAGCTTTACTCTTTGAAAACAGGATTGAGCCAACCAGGTAAATAAGCTACTTCCAGTTTGAAGTAACTTATTTCAAACTGGAGAAAAAAATGGAAAATTTCAAGGTGCCATAAAATTTTGTTTTAATACAATGCAGCAGCAGTTACTCTGGTAAAATTATGGAAAGGGATCGTATTCTGGTATTTTGTTCCCAGCAAGTCTCATGCAATTAGAGAACCAAGAGGCTATCCCTCGTCACCATCTAGTGCCAACCATCAGCCCACTACACGCTTATTAGCATTACCTACTTGTAAAACTCAACTAAATGTCAGCAGGGTAGAGGGTAAGAATAAAACATTCACAGTTTGCCTAAGTATTTGTCATCTACTGAACCTTTTGGAAAGAAAATGCAGCTTTGTTTAATTTAAAGCAAATCCACTATTTCTCCAAACTTGATTAGAATCAGCAAATAAACCATCTTGTTTAGAGCATGACCCCACTGTGGGTTTTAGAGAAAACGCACAGAATACAGCAGGAAAAATGACCTATTATATTACAGTATATGGGACTCTCCAATATTGCCCTCAGGCTTAAAATGTGTATTGGCGTGTATTATAATTTCACTTTAAAAGAGAGAGAAGGCAAGAAATCTCTGCTCATTTAAATGTCATTTACCAAGTGACAACGATAATACAATTTTCCATGAACTAAAATTAACTCCCAACAGAAGCTGCCTTCAAGAAAAGATAAAATTTAGAAAATGGTTTGTTATGAGACTTATCATGCCAGGATTAGCACATGAAGTAGTTAAAAATATAAGCATTTTTATGTGTCCTTTCGTGCAAGCACCAAGTTGGCTACAGGCTTTTATTTTAGATGAAGCGTAAAGTCTTGGAATTAGAATTTAGTTAACAATTATTTTCAAAGAACTGATCTGATACGACTGCCATTAAACAACAAAACCTGATTCCTCTTTGCTGCTTTGGTAATGGTATGAAAGTCTCACAAAGCTTGGCAGACAAGACTTTCCATGTCTGATCCCACCGTGGCTGAGGGTTTCTGTGGGCAGGCGTTGGGCTCCCTTGCTCTGGGTGTCACTGAGTTTGTAGCTATGAAATAAACTTCGGAATTACATCTGAACACGGGTGCTGGGTGCTAACACTTGACACTGAATGAGGAGGAGACACTCTCCTTTCTAGCCACCTATTGGCACATGTTCTCTCCAACCTCTCTGGGTGTTCTCCACCACAGTCCTCTGCTGAGGTCTCCTCCAGGCTCTAACTGTTGGTGTGTCCTATACCCAGACCTCGGCCTTCTCTCCATCTACACTGTTAAGCTTCACGTAATTTAAATGAACATTTCAGCCTTCATATCCATTTAAGATTCATGCACTCAATCACCTGCTGGACATTTCTCACTTGGATGTCCATTAGACAACTCAAAAAAGAGCCAGCAAGCCCTCCATAGCTGAGTAGGAGCTATACCACCCATCACCCAGTTACTCAGACTAAAATCATTCAGTATGTTCCACAGATCCCACATCTAAAATATATCCCAGTCCGGCCAACATGGCTCAGAGACTGAGCATCCACGTAGGATCCAGGAGACTGTGGTTCAATTCCTGGCCAGGGCACATGCCCAGGTTGCAGGCTCCATCCCTAGTAGGGGGCGTGCAGGAGGCAGCCGATCAATGACTGTCTCTCATCATTGATGTTTCTCTCTCTTCTTCTCCCTTCCTTTTTCTGAAATCAATAAAAAGATATTTTTTTAAAATAATAATAAATAAATAAAATATACCCCAAATCCTATCGCAGCTCACCATCTATAACACACACCCTTAGTCCAAGCCACCATTGTTTCTCATCTGGACAACAGCTACAGCCTCCTCACTGGTCTTCCTGCCACCATTCTTGCTCCTAACAACCCAACTTTCACTGAGCAGTCAGCATGAGCTCTCTAGAGCTATAAGTCAGATGACAGTATCTCCTCCATTAAAAACCTCCGGTGGCTCCTATTATACTAGGCCCTGTTCACCCTCGGCCCCCTGCGTGCTCCTCACAGCAGTGCGGCCCACGGACTTCCTGCTGTGCCTGCTTACTCCTCGGTTCAAAACCACCGCTCTTACCTCTGCCTTCGCCTTAGAACCCTCTCACTGCACATTTTCCCTCGGCTGCTCTTTATCACCCTTCAGACGCCAACTCCAATTTCTTCCCCTTCGAGGGCCTGCGCGGTCCTGACTAAAGCAGCCCACCCCACCCTGGCATCACTCTCTACCCCACTGCCCTATTTGGTTTGCTCCATAGCAATTAGTATGTTACCTATTCCCAACCCATCAAATGAACCACTACAATTAAAGCATTTAACCAGCTAAGCCAAGCCACATAAATCCCAAGACCTAATTACATGTCGGCAAACCTGCTGTGATTTATGAAGAGAAGCTGGAGAGGACACGCACTCCACATGCGCTACAACTGAAAATGCAGTAACCCGGCCCTGCCGTGGAAGCCTCCGTGTGGAGCAGTGCTGGCTGCATAAGAGAAGTGTAACTAAACAACTTACCACAAACAAAAAACAACAGCAGATAACCATCTTACATTTCTATAGTTAAAAATTTTTTTTAATGAAAAAAAAATCAAGCCACCAGAATTCCTATCAGGTTGCTGAGAGCAAACTGTCTGTGAACCATATGGCCTATCTATTAATAGATTTGACCTGTTACCCAACAACTGTTCCCCAGCCAGGAAGGACTATTACTCTGGGAGATAGAGGAAAGCAGAAAACCCACTTAAAGGTTTGGGGATGGGCATCAGGAGGGACATTAAAGAAACTGAAAGTAATTATCACCAAGAAGAGATCATCAAGAAGTAATCCAAAAACATTCTCTGAGACCATCCAAGGGCTGTGGTCAAAGGCGGCCAATGATTTAAATGTTTTTTCTTCTATCTTTATTAAGGAAGGAAAGGAGGGAGAGAGGGAGGGGAAAAAAAAGACTTAAATTTCCATAACAAGATTTGAACTCACTGTGTGGAATTATCTTTAGACACTGAGGAGTATTAGGAGAGGAACTGATTACTGAGGACAATCATTTACTCTCTGGCCCAGGTGTTTGTTTGACTTCATCCCTGAAAGTACAGGAGACAAGTTCTTTCAGCCTATGCTAACCACCAACTGTCCACCAACATGTCATCACCAACCACTGTGGGTCCAAACCCTTTTATGTTTTATCTCCTTTAATTTTCACAGTAACTCTGTAAGGTAGGTATTATTATCCCCATTTCACACATTGGAAAACAAAGGTGCAGTCACATTATCAGTTCTATTACTTTGGGGAAATAACTTTAAGCCTCTGGTTTCCAGTGTTCTTTCTTTAAACTGTGCTGTTTTTTTAAGTAGCTTATGATTTATTGGAAAAGTAAGAGACATACAACAAAGCAGATGCTAAGACTAATATGAAGGACTGAAGCAAGTGACTGATGACATAACAGAAAACAGACACCCTACTGGCCTATATACCAGTCAAGAAAGTGTTAACCATGATGAAAGTGGGACTGACATGAAACCAGTGAGGAAAGAAGGGCTTAAGATGGGGGCGACGGGGGGGGGGCAGGATGGCAAGAAAAATGGTGGATATGCACATGGCAAGCTTTCCTTGCAACAGAAGGAATTAAAAACACAAAGGCAGATCAGAAGCTAGGAAAAGACAGATCAGGCTTGCTATGAAAAGTTGAAGTTATTGAAAAAAATTCTAGAATTTTTCAGAGCCAAAAGACCCTTCAAGGCTATCCCCAACCAACATTATATTTTACAAATAAACAAATGAGATCTGGAGAGGGTAGGTGGTTTGCACAAAGTCACTCGGCCAATTAGGTAGCAGACCTGTGCCTAGATTTCCAACCTCCTGGCTTCCTATCTAGTGGATATAGAATCAATTGCTCTCTCCAAACATCAAGGGAACAAGCATGAGCCTCTGGTCCTTTTTTTTTCTGCTTTCCTCCCAATCAGTTCTAAATTATTTCCAAATATATAACTGATCAGTTCAATGAACAAAGAGCCATTGCTATGAAGACTGGAGTAGTACTGCGGGAGAATTAGAATCCCAGCCTCCTAGAGTTAGTGTGAACTTTGGAGTCAGCTGGTCCAACCTCCTCTCAATGCACAACTCCCATCTCCACGGCCTGACAGGTGATGGTGAACCTGCTCAAAACTCAACAAACTCCAATTGTTAGAAAGCTGTGTCCTTATGTTGATTTTAAATCTGCTTTCCTGAAGCATCAGACTTAGAATTGTCCTCCTGAACAAGACACACCAGGGCCCAAGACCTGCCCACATCCACATGGCAACTTTGTTTCACTTGGGGAACTAAGTATTACCCATCCACATTTCTTTTATCTGAGAGAGAAAGGAAAAGACAGATGTGTTTCCTTCCTAAAAGTTGTAGGGATTTGTCTTGACTAGAAGGACTCCAAGGATGTCCAAGGTTAAGACATCAGTAAAGCATTATATTTGTTTCACAAGAAGAAATTAAATAAGATAAACTCAGAGACCATGAAGGGCTTTTTGGTAACAACCTGAAAGAAAAATTCCCAAAACATTAACTAAAAAGCAGAAGTCCTTGGGTTAATGTTGATACTCATTTTTTATCAACACAAATATTCTGCCAGAAGTTTTGTTTTGTTTATTGAAATATAATTCATGCACAATAAAATTCATCCCTTTAATAAAAGTGTACAGCTCAGTGGTTGTCAGAAAATTCACAAAGTTGTGCAACTATCACCACAAATTCCAAAGCATTTTCATCACCCCAAAAAGAAACTCTGTACCCACAAGCAGTCACTCCCCAACCTCCCAATTCCCCCTGCCATAGGCAACCACTAATCTACTTTTGTCTTTATAGATTTGCCTATTCTAGACATTTCATATAAATTGAGTTATATAATATGTAGCTTTTTGTAGCTTCCACTCAGTCCACCGCCATCTTTAATCTCTCTAATATGTAGGTTTTTGTGACTCGTTTCTTTCACTTAGCATAATGTTTTCAAAGTTCATCCACACTGTATCATAAATCAGTATTTCATTCCCTGTTATGACTGAATAATATACCATTGTATATATTTACCACATTTTATGTATCCATTCATCACCTGATGGACATTTGGGTTGTTTCTACTTTCTGGCTATTATGAATGCTGCAGTCATATAAAAGTTTTTAATGTAGATATATGATTTCATTTCTCCTGGGCCTATATTTAGAAGTGGAATTTTGGGGTGATATGGTAATTCTATGTTTAACTTTTTGAGAAACTGACACATTGTTTTCCAAAGTAGCTGTATCATTTTAGGTTGCCAACAGCAATGTATGAGGGTTCCAATTTCTCCACATCCTTGCCAACACTTATTATTATCTGTCTTCTTTATTATAACCATCCTATTGGGGTGTGCAGTGGTATTTCTTTGTGATGTTGATTTACATCTTGGGAGAAGTTTTTTAAATGTATATTTAACATATCATAAAATGTATTTTAACATACATAATGGCTACAGAGATGTCTCCATCCATTGTAACACACTATTGTGCTATTATCTCAGCATTTATAAAATGGCCCAAAATGAATCATCTTATGGAAAGTGTAAGTTATACACATCCACACACTTTAAGAAAGAGAACAGTGGACCAGGGGGAGGGGACTTATAAAGAGATTTAAGATAGGGTTTCTGTGCTCCTCACTGCAGTAACCAATACTGAGTGTCGCCCAAAGAAGGCAGAAGTGAATTCAAACGCACTTGGGTATCATTCCCATCTCTCTGAGGCTGTTTGCTCATCTGTAAAATTGAGCCAATAATATCCACAATTCAGGCCTCCTGAGGATTAGATATGCTCATGTGAATGAAGGACCTAATGCAGTGCCTAGTGTTACAGAAGATACTCAAGATGTCGTCAGTGTTGTTCTATAATAAAAAATTTGGACCAATTTATACCAGGTATTTGTATTATAATATACCAGCTCAGAGACTTGGCATGCTGTTATCCAAGTACCAAATCACACCTCAGGTCTGTGAGTCATGAGTTCAGCTCCACAGAGCACGGAGCCATTTAATTTCTGAGGTTACGAGCAAAACCTAGTCTGCTCCAAGGCCATCCTCGACACTCTTTAAAAATAAATAAAATCTCAATATCCATCCACAAAGATATTTGAGAAAGACAAGGAGCTGCATCTGTACAGGCCTCATAGACTCACCAGCTTTGCTATTACAGCTTTGGAGCTTTCTAGAAACTTCTGTGTCAATACCAATTGCAAACCTGAAGTAGAGGCTCCCAGGGTCCTGGCCACATCCTCTCAATCATCATCATTTCCTTGCAGGTTGGCCCCAACTCCAGCATGTGCATCTCTTTGCTGGGGGCTTTTCTGGCTGCTGGGGCCTGCAGGAGGCCAGGATCTTCCCAGCACCAACCCTGCAGTCCTCAACCAATGACTGACAGGAGTTGAAATAAATATTTTCGCTCCCTCACCCAGGAGTGGAAGTGGAGGAGGGTGACTTTGGCTCCCAGAGTTCCTCATTGGGAAGAAACTCCCGTTGCTCCTGGTCGAACCTGTGTGACGATACCACACCCTACATTGGTTTCCCTCTCTTCCCTGCCTCACCTCTCCACTCGTCATCAGTGTTTCCTGGATCCACCTCCCAAAGACACTTGCACTTGAATCCGTCTCAGTATCTGCTTCTGGGAAGCCCAAAGTAAGGCCAAAATCTAGACTTTTTTTTTAGTCTTTCATTCAGTAGGTCCTAAAAGATTCCAGATTGTTGAATCACTTATGGAGCCATCACATTTGGCTGATGTCCAGAGAAGGGGGTGAGTAGAAATTGAAATCCTTGTTAAAACTTAACAAGCTATGAGCTTGGGACACTGGCCTAGGAAAAAGGGTACCTCTTTCTTCACAAAAGGGTGCTAGTCACTTGCCAAGCTTTGGGCCCAGGGTGCCCCACCTGCCCAGATTACTAATTTACACACAAGAGTGCTACCGGCTCCTGAAGGCCCTGGCCTGGCAGTGCTCCTGTGAGTAACGGTACGGGGTAGGTGCCCAGTAAAAGTCTGAGGACGGTGATGACTGCTAACACCCGGGAGATTAGACTCAGGGCACCGGATAGCATGAAATGGTGCTGGGTGCCGGAGGGAGGAAGGGAGTCCATATCACTGTATCTCTCAGTGTGTCAGAAGCTTTACGAGCTGACCATTTTCATCCCCACCTCCGAGGCTTTAGCGGTCACAGTGCTGGGCGCTCTCTCATCGTTTCACAGCTCTTTACCCCATTGTCTACCTTCCCACTTACCTGAGGCTGGCCTGCAAATCCCCACAGCCCACCGTGCAGAAGCATTCCGTACCTGACAGCGACCATCAGCCCTTTCCCATCACTGTTATATCCCCTCCCAGGTCCACCGATCTGCAAACGGAGCTTCACAAGAAAACCCTAAGGCCAAGCAGCCTGCGTTCTCCTGTCAGCTGAACCCTCCACTGCATGCCCCCATCTACGCTGGGATGACTCTGTGACTGGATATAGAAATGCTAAGCCAGAACTGGGCCCGGGCATTCCCATCCCACTGCCCACACTGGCTCTGTGCCCCAGGGAAGGCGGCCGGTGCCAGTTCTGGCAAAGCCAAGGCTGCTCCCAGCAGAGGCTGCAATGAAACTGACGTCCGTACATCAGCAATTGGCTCCTACTGGAGTTGCCACGGCAATGCCAACCTCTGCAGTCTCAAGAATGAACAAAGGCAACACAGAAGAATGGAACTTGCAGGAGGAAACCAGGCTAGAATTCCTTTCCTTTCTGCCAAGAGCCCTGCTGTGTGGACACGCAAGCACTGTCAAGACCGCAGACAGCTGTGGAAGACCACTCTGGGAAGGCAAACTGCCCAAGCGATAATGAAGAAATTCAGAATTACTGCCTGGCTAACAGGCCACATGAAGACAGAAGTGTTACTTCTGTTAAAGACATCAATGGAATCTGTGTTTCAAAAATGCAGTTCTTATTTGTATGTGATTTTCATTTTATATCAAAATACAATGAAATCCCTGCATCTTTGCCCTTGAACTGCTCTTGACCTTAATCTACCAAGACACAGGGATTCATTGAGTCGGGGAAACTGGTTCTGATCTAGAACCTCACCCCTCTCCTGCCTTAGTTACCTACATTTTCTGGGCCTCCTCTCTGTAAAGTAAAAGACTGGCTCTTTCTATGCTACAGTAATAATGGGCAGCTAGGGTTCTGGGGTTTTCCCCGTAGAGTGGCTTCTATCTTGACCACACAGAGCACGAGGGAAGGTAAACTGAAAACTGGACTGAGCTCAGTGTTCTGTATATTTAGAGAAATGAATGAAAACCGCTGCTATGGTTTTTCCAGCAGATCTGGTTTCCTGCCAAGTCAAGGCTGAAAAGAAAAAAAAATCAAAGCTTCCTCACCGGAGAGGAGGTTGAGGGGACCAAATGGAAGACAGCAAAGACAACACTGAGCCTTGTTTCTGGGGCACGGCGCCCGATGGCCGTGCCTGGCTCAGTTCCGCGCTCTCCAGTCAAACTCACTGTCACTCGGCAAACCTCTCCCAGTCAGGCGGGGATCCAGTGGCACCTCCAACACAGAAGCCACTGGTAACACATGTAAAGTTCTCTTTAGTTAAAAAGTGAAATGTGAAATATAAAAACTCCTGCCCAGACCTTTACTTGGCTAGGTATGGAGCATAGAGAGGCTTCTGATAAACTGCAAATAGAATTAATATTCCACTTGTTTTTTTCACTCTGCAGAAACAGCATAGAAAATTGTAACTTTCCCATGTACTGAACAGCAATTTTGCTTTTATGGTAAGTTCAGGTCCCTCGTCTCCATCTGTTTCTCAGGACTTTAGAGGCTGGGCAGGAACATCAGTTTCCCTTTCTGGGAATGAAGAGTAACTTCCAGACCGGCTGGCATGGCTCAGCATTTGAACATCGACCTATGATCGAGGAGATAGGGGTTCGATTCCTGGTCAGGGCACATGCCTGCGTTTCGGGCTCCATCCCCGACAGGGGGAATGCAAGAGGCAGCCAATCAATGACTCTCTCTCATCATTGATGTTTCTCTCTCTCCCTCCCTCTCTCTCTCAAATCAATAAAAATATATTTTTTTAAAAAAAAAGAGTAACTTCCATGGCCTGTGAAAGGCAACAATTCAAGCTGAGACTAAGATCCAGAGTTTCTGGCTCCCAGCTGAGCCTTGTACCCTTGGCACCATATTGCATCTTGTCACTGATCCTCCAAGAACATATTTAACCCCCAGCTATAGGTTTTCTAAGACTCCCATGCATTTGGGTTTAGAACATTACACAATATAACCCCAAGTCAATGGCTTGCGTTTACTTATTACTGATAAAATAACTCTTATAAATTACAGAAAAATATGTCCCACAAAATAGAGTAATGACATTAACACAAGCCAGTAAGAGTCATTAAGTTCGGAGGAGCGATGTCACTCTTAGTGTCAAAGGCGCCACCCCCATCCTGTTAGAGTATAGTAGCGCTATAAAAGGGGAGCAGCTGGCTTCATGCAAGTCTAAACAGCTCTTCCACAGCCCGCTGAGTCCAGCATGGCTGGGCTGGAACCTGGGCTAAGCGAGCTTCACGCACTCCGGCCCAGGGAAACTGTCCTCACCCGGGAGAAGAGAGGTTTCACCCGTAGAGGCAGAAGTGGATTTCCCAGTTGGCAGGTGAAGTACATTGGACACACCAAAAAAAAAAAAAATTATTTTAAAGCCTTGGTGTGTTTTGTTTTGAGACTTTTAATTTTATTTGGAGGATATGGCATCATATTTTTAGTGCTTAAGGTACTGGAAGAGCTGGGTGGCCACACACAAGGTGGAATCTGAAGAGCAAAAATCTCCCAATACTTTCGCCTGCCCCTGCCCCTCTCTCCTGACCTGGAGAGTTCCCTGTGAACCACTAATGAATTACACAGCAAGAGAGGCTGTTTCAGAAGGCTAACTACGACCAGAAGCAGTCTCTAGTCTTCTGCCAGGAGCACCAACTAGCTTATCAGATTCAGATTCTATTATAGTTAATAGAACAGATTTTAAGAAATTATTCATTTCTGAGTAGACGGGGTGGGTGGGGGAGAGCATTCCTCCAGGCCAAGCAGGAAACATCAGGGTGACAGGGGGAAGGCACCAAAGGCAAATGCCACCTCCTGCCCAACCAGCCTAGGGTGGGCCAGCAGATAACTGTTTAAGCATTTTATTCCAGCCCTCTGGCCCAACTAACGAGTGTGATGATTATTTAATAGACGCCCACACTCAGATGCCTGAGGAGTGCTTGCTGGTACCTTCTCCCTTGAGAAGGGAGCCCTGTGTTCTTCGGTTCTCATCCCATGTTTCTCTTCAATGCCTGTCTTTCAGAGCATGTTTTAAGGAAAGGAAGAAGCCTGTGTTATCTTTTCCTATTAATTTTCTTTGTGTTCCCTCAAACTACTGCCCCATCTCTGCTCTTGTCAAACCACTTGGAAGTTTGGCCTCCTCGGGCCTCTCCTTCCTCACCCCTTCACCTCACATCCTGCCATCTAATTTTTGCCTTCATTCAGCTGCTTTTTTTAAAAATATATATATATATATATATATATA